ATTCTCACCACAGGACCTTCCTCCTGGTGTCTGATAACGCTTGTGCTCCTCAGTCCTTCAGCAGCACACCCTCTCACTCTCAGCTCCTTGCGCCTCTTGCTCCCAGCTCCTCACACTCCCACCACAAACTGAAGTGAGCTCCTTTTAAAACCCAGTGCCCTGATTAGCCTGCCTTAATTGATTCTAGCAGCTTCTTCTTAATAGGCTAATTAGGACACCTGGAGCCAGCCTTCCTTAACTGGTTCTAGCAGGTTCCTGATTACTCTAGTGCATCCCCTTCTCTGGTCATTCAGGGAACAGAAAACTACTCATCCAGTGACCAGTATATTTGCCCTCTACCAGACTCCTGTACCCCACTGGTCTGGGTCTGTCACACTTTGTAGAGTGTCTTTCTCTGACACTAAGGACTTGCCAAGCGTGATGAGTTTCTCCTGGAATTTGAGAACTTTTCTTTATGATGTCTTTACTTCTGGATGTTCCAGTGGCTCCAGTAGGGTCCCAAAGCTGCACCATTGTGGAATTGATGGCAGGAGTCCTGAGAAATCAGTGCCTTTGTTTAGGGGTTTCAGAGTAGCAGCCGTGTTAGTCTGTATCCGCAAAAAGAACAGGAGTACTTGTGGCACCTTAGAGACTAACAAATTTATTAGAGCATAAGCTTTCGCATCCGAAGAAGTGGGCTGTAGTCCACGAAAGCTTATGCTCTAATAAATTTGGTAGTCTCTGAGGTGCCACAAGTACTCCTGTTCTTTTTGTTTAGGGGATGGCTAATGGCTAAACTTGCACTGAGTTCAGCTTCTCTTCTAGGCCTCCGAATTTTCCTCTTGCTGCCCTGTGTTGTATTTGACCTGGTTTTGTATGTAAATGTTTGGCCTTCTGGCCACTGGGTGGTGGTTTTGAAATCCTGCTAAGGACTCTCCTCTCATTTGCTGTTGATTGGAGAAATTTTAGTGCAGTGAGGTAGCTTCACAGAGCTTCAGTACACTTCTTGGTCTCTGCTCGAATAGCCTGCAGTGTTTTTGTAAGAGCATCAAATAGGTATGTACTAGGGGAATCAGTATCCAAGCATGGAAGACTGGGTGTGTAGCATCTGGCAAGTCATCTTTCCATTTTCTTCACACTGGCTAGGAAATATATTTACTGCTCACATGTATTTTAGACTTGTATCACCCTTCTGGTCTCTCTGTCCAAATGTGGTCTCTTAGCAAAGATTAATCTACTGCCCTCCCACCCCATCATCTCAAGCCTCAGAAGTAGCAAATCATTTGAAGAGAGACAATGGTAAAGTTTCAGGGAAGAGCAGTATTGGCACATCTGCTACTGAAGTGAATGTGGCTGGGACTGATGTCTACCAATAAATGAGGATTCTGGCTTGGTTCCTTCAGTGGGAAGTTCAGGATTCTAGCCATTTGGTGTATAATATAATAATAATTAATGGAGATATCCCATCTCCTAGAACTGGAAGGGACCTTGAAAGGTCATTGAGTCCAGCCCCCTGCCTTCATTAGCAGGACCAAGTACTGATTTTTGCCTCAGATCCTTAAGTGGCCCCCTCAAGGATTGAACTCACAACTCTGGGTTTAGCAGGCCAATGCTCAAACCACTGAGCTATCCCTTCCCCCATGCACAGGAAGGAAGTGAGTTAAAGCTACTCTTTATGGAACACTTGGTCTCTTTCCACCTGCTGCATTTGCATTACACGTAGCATCAGGTTTTGTTGGAATGTTCTTGGGATTTCCCATAAAACAGCTTTGTGATGGCATGCTAAACAAACACATTGGCAGACGTTTGGGGCAATTCTCTGGGGAATTACTGTGGATGGCTATTGGAATTTAGTTCTTCTGAGAATCAGAAATGTGCACAGCTAACGTTCACTCTCCACATATGAACTGTGTGGAGCCATCAAATTTTCCTGACTGAGTGCCACTGATACTTGATAGTGAAGGTGAATTTTGTGGAGGAGGGTTGTCTTGGAAACTAGAATCCAAGTCTTCAGTTTCACTAGATAAACATTCAGCTCCTAGGCAGAAAATAAAGACACCAACCCTTATGGCCGACCAGATTAAAAAGCAGCTTTGAGATTTGTCCCTAAATCTGTGCTTTTGAAGTTTGGATAATGTTTGATCTAAATGCTAAGAATTTAACGTGTGCTGCCCAAATTCTTTTGAGGCTAACCCTTCTCTAACTCATCCCAACTGAACACCTGTTTGGTGTGGCATATCAATAGAAAACTTGGTTTTCTTTCTGGTGTGGGTGGAGTATCCCTCTTCTAGATTGACAATCTGAGAGATGGGAAAGGTCTCATATCTCTGCAGACATGTGCAAACTTCAGAGGAAAGTCTTGCACAAGGCAATACACTAAAGTAACCCTGAAGTCTCATTTAAATATCAGTAACCCAGGAAATTTTACAGCTGTGACTCCATCTTTTAGTCCTTGCCTAGGTCCTGCAGAGCAGGTGCACCTCTGTCAGTGAGGTTCCTCTACAAAAGTGTGTGTGGTCTTACACGCATGAGCTTCTGCATGCTGGCTTAAGGTGACGAACTACAGACCATTTCTATGTGAACTGGATTTAGTGGGTTTAAATACCCGGCCAAACTTTCAAAAGTGTGTGCGTGCTTTTGCATGACGCTCTCTTGCATTCCCTTGTGCAAGTTGAGGAAGGGTGTCATGAATGCAGAAATCCTGATGTACATGTGAAACCCGGATGCTGCCTATTCAAAAAGGGTCTGCATATCTGAAAATTTGGGCCTTAATATTTAGGATTGTTTCCACATTTTATAGACCCACAGTGGGATGACATGCGGCAGTCCCTGTTCTGCCACAAAATTCATGTGTAACCCTGGGCAAGTCACTTAGCCTCTTCATGCTGCAGTTCCCATCTGTAAGATGAGGATAATAGCACATCCCTCCCTCACAGGTGTGTTGGGAGGGGAAACACCATAACAACTGAGGTGCTCAGATGCTACGGGGGCCATAGAAGTAGCATGTACCTAGACATCCCCCTCAACCCCTAAGATGGGTCTCCTTTTTCTGATCCTCACTGTTTCATAAGCCATATGTACTGTGACCAATTTGACAAACATCTGAAGGCGTACACCTCCTAAACGGAGCTCTGGAAAGCAAGAGATCTGACCGTAAGGGCTGAACTCTGGCTTCTGAGACGAATGCACAACTCCCATTTAATTCTGTATATCTCACAGGACACAGTTTGACCCTTTGGTTTGATCTGATCATTTTTTGGTTTACATTTCTTGTATGTGTCTATATTGTATATTGTGGCAAGGAGCCCCAGAGCTCGGTTTAGTACCATGCTATTAAATATCTACTTTGAATCCGAGGTGGTGGCAGTTCAGTGGCTGGTGAAAAGATTCCTGTATGTGGGTCTGTATGTATATGTGTGCAGTCAGTATAAATGTGTGTATATTGTATGTTAAATCCTGCCAAAATTAATTATCATACAATTATATTACAGTAGAGCACCTAGGAACCCCAGCCATGGGTCGGAACCCCATAGTGCTAGACACTGTACAGACAGTCCCTCCCCCATAGAGCTAACAGTCTAAAGTTGAGAACTCAAGTTCTTGAGTTAGGAAATGCAGAGTAAGGCTGTGAATGTTCGACCTTGACTCTGCCCCCTTGTGCTTACGTCTTAAATTATGGGCAAATAAAAATGTGTAATGAACACCTAAAATTCTTATGCAACCTTCTACAAAGTCTTCAAATGGGGGTTGAATTTAAGTCAGATGCATGAGAACAAAACAAGTCGAGTAGGAAGAAAATCAGTGCAGTAGCTTTAAAGTTACTTTAGAGTTGGCAAAGGAGATTGACTGATAGTAAGGTGAATCTCAACAGAAATTCAACTGTACATGTGTAATATAACTTATATTAAGTGTTCACATCTTTTAAATAGAGAGCAGATTTTTCTTCAAATATGGCTTTAACTTTGTGTCACTGAGATATACAAAATAAACCAAGCTTGAAGTACCTAGCTTTAATTGTTTGAGTTATTGGAGTGCAACATTTCTCATGAGAACATATGAAAAACTGCCTTCGAGTCTGAATAACTCAGCAATTGAATTTTGCCTCAGCTTTTCAGACATTCTTCTTTGGGCTCAGACAAAGCCTTAAATTTCTACCCGGAAAGAATTTGGTAAATTACGAGCATCTGTGAAAAATGGACATGAACAGAAATTGGAATTTAACTTTGACTGTAGTATATGCTGTGTGTTCCCACTCTAATCATTGGTAGACTGTTTTGTAATTCTTTAGAATGAAAGGCATTCTAAAAATGAAAGAAAAATGCATTAAAACTACTACTATGGTCACTTTATAGTTTGAGCACACACATGCTTAGAGTTGGGAGGACCACAAAAAACCTGAGCAGAACCTTTAGTCAACAAAAATGTTACTCAGGCCTTTGTTCCTTTTTCAAAACGTGCTACTCACATTTGTAATATACTGGGAGGTATAAATATTTGTCAGATGAACTTTTTACATATGGTGGCTTTTATTTGATTACATAATTGCTTAAAAAAACTCCTGTAAATCAAACGCTCCTGATCCTTTGTTGTGAATTAGTGAGTTTCTTCTGAGATTGAAGTCTTTGGGCCAGAACTGTTTGTTCAAAATGTAGCAATAATAAACTCTGGCAATCTTTTCTCTAATGTTTTGTACTTGTGGTGCAGAACATTGGAATATCAACATTTTGGCTTGTATTGAAAGCTAGTGCAATAGTAAATTGAGGCATTTGTGTCTGGGATTTTAGAACAGGTGACCAGGCTTTCTAATCGTGTTGGTCTTGACACTTGTGTTCATGTCTGTCAATATGGTCTCCCAAGGATAGCATTGTTCTTATGCATTCTGAGTTTTATTTGACTGGTATCTGGAGGGCCCGATTTGATACCCTTACACAGGCACCAGTGCCCAAAGTTGTCAGAATGCTACACAAATAAACTAAAAACAACATTTTAATAATGGACAGTATGTCCAAATCTCTTCCAGAGTGGGGAGAGCCTGATGGCATAAAACAAATTCCTGCACCATGTGCAAACAGGGAGATACCAATAACTTTGAAGGATGCCACTGATGTACCTGAGCATATGTTGCAGGAGAGAAATTTGTGTCTCCTTTGAAGGCTTTGTCTCATCTTCAAGTATAGTATAGGGTGTCCGGCAGTGTCACTCAAGCCAGTATCAGTTGTGGTGATAAACACAGGAGCTTTCTTAGGTAAAATAATCCCATACAATTATCGTTTAAAATACTGTTGAGCCTTGCTTTGCGCTTGCTGATTGACAGATAGCCAGTACAAAGATTAGAGCAAGGAGAAGGCTATTGATGTGAATACAGTAGCATGATTCATAGATTCTAAGGCCAGAAGGGACTATTGTGATCATCTAAGCTGACCCCCTTTATAACACAGCCCAGAGAGGCCCAACATAATTCCTAGAGCAGAGCTTTTAGAAAAACATCATATCTTGATTTAAAAATTGGCAGTGATGGAGAATCTGCCGTGACCCTTGGTACATTGTTCCAATGGTTAATTACACTAACTGGGAAAAATTTGCACCTTATTTCTAGTCTAAATTTTCTAGCTTCAGCTTTCAGCCATTGGACTGTTTTACATTCTCTGCTAGACTGAAGAGCCTATTATTAAATATTTGTTCCCCATGTAGGTACTTACAGACTGTCATCAAGTCACCCCTTAGCCTTCTCTTTGTTAAACTAAACAGATTGAGCTCCTGGTATCTATCACTGTAAGACATGCTTTCTAATCCTTTTAACTTTCTTGTGGCTCTTCTCTGAACCCTCTCTAGTTTATCACCATCCTTCTTGAATTGTCTACACGAGAACTGGACACAGGATTCCAGCAGTAGTCACACCAGTGCCGAATACAGGGGTAAAATAACCTCTCTGCTCCTATGCAAGATTCCCGTTTATGCATCTGAGGATTGTTAGTCCTTTTGGCCATAGCACTGGACTGGAAATGCGGGTTCAGCTGATTATCCACCTAAATAAGAACATAAGAATGGCCGAACTGGGTCGGACCAAAGGATCCTGTATCAGGATCCTGTCCAGCCCAGTTTCCTGTCTTCCGACAGTGGCCAATGCCAGGTGCCCCAGAGGGAGTGAACCTAACAGGTAATGATCAAGTGATCTCTCTCCTGCCATCCATCTCCACCCTCTGACAAACAGAGGCTAGGGACACCATTCCTTACCCATCCTGGCTAATAGCCATTAATGGACTTAACCTCCATGAATTTATCTAGTTCTCTTTTAAACCATGTTATAGTCCTAGCCTTCACAACCTCCTCAGGCAAGGAGTTCCACAGGTTGACTGTGCGCTGTGTGAAGCAGAACCTCCTTTTATTTGTTTTAAACCTGCTGCCCATTAATTTCATTTGGTGGCCCCTAGTTCTTATATTATGGGAACAAATACATAACTTTTCCTTATTCGCTTTCTCCACATCACTCATGATTTTATATACCTCTATCATATCCCCCCTTAGTCTCCTCTTTTCCAAACTGAAAAGTCCTAGACTCTTTAATCTCTCTTCATATGGGACCCATTCCAAACCCCTAATCATTTTAGTTGCCCTTCTCTGAATCTTTTCTAATGCCAGTATATCTTTTTTGAGATGAGGAGACCACATCTGTATGTAGTATTCAAGATGTGGGCGTACCATGGATTTATATAAGGGCAATAAAATATTCTACGTCTTATTCTCTATCCCTTTTTAATGATTTCTAACATCCTGTTTGCTTTTTTGACTGCTGCTGCACATTGCGTGGACATCTTCAGAGAACTATCCATGATGATTCCAAGATCTCTTTCCTGATTAGTTGTAGCTAAATTAGCCCCCATCATATTGTATGTAGAGTTGGGGTTATTTTTTCCAATGTGCATTACTTTACATTAGCCACATGAAATTTCATTTGCCATTTTGTTGCCCAATCACTTAGTTTTGGGAGATCTTTTTGAAGTTCTTCACAGTCTGCTTTAGTCTTAACTATCTAGAGCAGTTTAGTATTGTCTGCAAATCTTTTTCAGAGCCACTGTTTACCAGGGTAGAGTCCCTGATCCTACAAGTCTGGCCTGTGTTCTTTGTTCCTAGATGTATACATTTAGCTGAATTAGAAGATTGCTTGCCTCCAGTTTAACAAGCAATCCAGCTTGCTCTATAAATGACGTGTCCTCTTCGTTATTTATCACTCCCTCAATTTTTGTCATGTGCAAACTTAGTGATTTTTTTCTTCTCCCAGCTCATTGATTGTCAAGACTGCTTTCCCACTCTGAACTTTACGGTACAAATGTGGGGGCCTGAATGAAAACTTCTAAGCTTAACTACCAGCTTAGATCTGGTCCGCTGCCACCATTCCCAAGTGGATTCCCTTCCCTGGGAAGCCTTGAGAAACTCTTCACCAATTCCCTGGTGAATACAGATCCAAACCCCTTGGATCTTAAAGCAGGGGGAAATGAACCATCCCCCCTCCTTCCTTCCACCAGCTCCTGGTGAATACAGATCCAACCCCCTTGGATCTAAAAACAAGGAAAAAATCAATCAGGTTCTTAAAAAGAAGACTTTTAATTAAAGAAAAAAGGTAAAAATCATCTCTGTAAAATCAGTATGGAAAATAACTTTACAGGGTAATCAAACTTAAAGAGCTCAGAGGACCCCCCTCTAGCCTCAGGTTCAAAGTACAGCAAACAGAGATAAACACTCTAGTAAAAGGTACATTTACAAGTTGAGAAAACAAAGTAAAACTAACACGCCTTGCCTGG